GATAAGTGTCCAGAGCTCTTTTGTGCCACTTAAATGTCAAGATCTCTTCTGCCAAAGGAGATCCAATGACATTCTGGAAACTAGTGTGAAATTTCATTCTGCCTCCCAGAGGTTGACATTATCTCTAGGGGACGTGGGGCGAGGGGGAGGGAGGAGTAGTTCTACTGAAGCCCCTGGTAGAGCAGAAGAGCATCAGGCCGCAATTCCAGCCAGCACAGATCCTTGGTCCTGCTTGGGCCAGTGACCTTGGGCAGCTAATATAGTGCCTTATACCTCCCTTTCTAACCAGGAAATATGCAGCTAATATTTGGCCATTCTCACTAGATTGATGTGAGGATAATTCAATATTATCAACAATTTTTTTTAATAATGAAAAGAACAATAGCTAGCTAGCATGTGCTGAGAATTTTCTGTATCTGGTACTATCCTATGCATGTTACATGCATTATTCCTATAGCAGTTGAATGAGGAAGCTATCAGAGTTATAACAATTTTACAGACAAAATCATGGAAGCTTGGGGAGGTTAACGAGTTTACAGGTTACCACAGCCATACAGTTGATGGTAGACCTGGGATTCAAACACAGTATCCAATACTCTGGTGTCAGGCATTGAGGTCAATAAGATGTACACTATATTCTCAAGGAGTTTAAAATTAAGTGAAAGAAGTAGGCACATGCACAGTTTTTCTTTTCTTTTCTTTTCTTTTTTTTAAAGGAAGGGAGCAAGAAAATGATAGTTTTTCAACTCAATAAAGTTGTCTGCAAGCTCAAGGCATTACTTGGCTACTATAGGACAGAAAGGTGTGACACCCCTTCTTACCCATCATAAGGCTGAAAGCCATCACTCCCATAGCAAAAGACAGATTAACAAGAAGAACACAGCAGATTTATTTAATCAAAGTACTGAGTGACTAAGAAGACTTTAGAAATGAAGACCCAGAGGTCCACAGAAAAGGTCTATTTGTATGCCTAGGTTCATAAAAATGGACAGTTCATAGAAATATGTAGGACTGCACAAAAAGGTGTGATTTAAAGTAATACACTAAGGGGAAACCCAGAAAGGCCTGTCTGTTTGGATTCTTTTTCCTTCTGAAATTAGGATGTTATGATCCACTCATCAGACAAGGTAGATCAGAGAATTTCTTTGTGGCCAGCTCTTACACAGAAAGACAAGTTTAAGGTTATATTTCTAGTTTATATGACCTGCCCAAGGAAGAGGTATTCTGGTTTCTATAACCACCTGGAGGGCGGACGGACCACAAGGGCAGGAGAAGATCAGAGAGAGACCTTGCTCCTGAGGCTCTTCCAAAATGTCCTTCAGTTCAAAGTAGTCAGCAGGCAAAAGTTCCATACTTTAGGGTATTGTTTGTATTTTTCTGAGCCCCAACACTACTATTCCATTAGTTTATAATATATGTCACGTATGCAAAGACGTAAACACACAGAATTTTGTATCTATTTATACATACACACGTGTGGTAAAATTTATTAACATGGGATTGTTGGAAGACTTTCCCTCCTCTCCCCCCAACTGGTTAAATTGAACCTTCTAACCCTGTAATCGTCCTGTCTCCCCTGTCCTTTCTTCCGGGGTCTGCACTCAGGCGCCTCCCTGGACCAATCCCTCTGCTTGGGTGATGCAGGAGAGGCCCAGACTAAGGGTAGAGGAAGGGGAAGGGAAACATTAGCTGAAAAGGTTAAGACAATTTGCATAATAATGACCTGGGGGTAGTGCAGAGGGGAGGAGAGGAGGAAGAAGGGAAGAAGGGGGAGGGAAAAGGAGAGGAGAGACTAGGAGAAAGCGAAGAAGAGATGGAGAAAGGGAGATGCGCTCCCTTACAGAAGGAGAGGGAAGAAATAGAGAGAGGGAAAGGCTTGTGGCTGATGGTAGGATGCATCTCTGGAGAATTAGTGGGGGGTAGAGGAGTAGCTCAAGGGAGTGGGTAGGACAGACATAAAGAAGACAGGAAAGGAAATGGGAGAAAAGCAGTGGGCGCTATCCTTTGGGTCTCTTTTCATATGCTTAGAGAGACTGGATAAGAATATGATTCTTTTAAGAATATTTTTTCTTTTTTTTTGCACAGGGTCTTGTTAGGTAGCCCAGGTTGGTCTCAAAGATCCTTCTGCCTCAGCTTCCCAAGTGCTGGGAATTACAGGCAGGTACTACCATACCCAGCAATTTAGGATTGTTTTGCTTGATTGTCCTATGCCTGTCTAAGTGGGCCCCTGCTATGGACCTGCTGCACAGGGACTGTAGTTTTGTTAGGGTTACATATCTATACTATACACATTATTTTTTGTTTTTTGCATTGCACAACCCCAGGCATGTCACTTAGTCTCTCTGTGCCTCTTTTTTTTTCACTTATAAAATGGAGACTGCAGCGGCATCCATTACACAGGTAGTTGTTAGGATTAAATAACTTAAACATTAAATAATGTTTATTAAATAATAATGTACCCAGGGCTGGAAAGCCTCTGTTATCTGGAGCCATTAATTACTGGAGGCTCAGTTTTCTGAAGCCTCTATTTACTGATCACTCTCACCTGTAAGCCTCTTAGGTTTGAAGGCTGACTCACCGTAGGCTACCTCCTGTCTCTTCTCAAGGCTCTACCATGCATGATACATTCCTCGGCTAAGCTGGTAATACTGTTGCCTCAGTTTCTTGGTCCTTATCCTTTTGTCCAATAACCAATGAATCACCAGGTTCTCTAATTTCTTATCTCTATATCTCCCTGTGCTGCCTTTCCAACTCCTCACCTAGACCCCCACACCTCACTAACCATCTACTGCAGCAGCTTCCTGACCTGCCTTCCCACATTTGGCTCCTCTGCTAGCCCACTCTGCATGTGCCATGAGAACTGCCTAAAATCTTACTTTCATCCCATCCCTCCCCAGTTCATAATCTCACTGCTTCCTGTCAGCAGGGTGAAACCCAAACTCCTTACCATATCTTCCATGGCCCACCAAATCTGTCTACACCCAAATCCTATAAAAGCACTTAGCCTCTTCTGCCAGTCATTACCAACCACTGCAGCACTCAGGTCTGGTTTAGTGCTTTGCTGCTTCAGGCTCCTTCTCACCCACATCTGCATCTGTCAAACCACACCCATGCTTCAAGGACTGTTTCTGCCTCCCTTTCCCTGAGAAACTTTCTCAGGCTACCTCATGGAAGCTGTGCTCATGCAGCCTATGAGCCCTGTCTTTCCAAAAAGATGACCAGCTCCTCAAAGGCTTCATGCCTTTGAACCTTTGCACAGGGCTTCACACACACCCACAAAACAGCTACTGCATAATCAACATCTGGTAATTTAGAATTGAAATTCCAGGTACTTTCCTTTTTCCTCTGAGACCTATCACAGCAAAGGATTTTTTTTTAAGACCTACTTTGTGCTTAGTAAGTAAAGGGCTCACACAGTGGCTGGAGGTGAGCAGGTAACTGTTGCTGTTACTGCAATTTGGATTGACTCTCTCTTATCCAAGGGACATGTTTTCTGCCGTTCTCCGGTGAGTGTGAGACTCTTCACATGAGAAGTCAACGTCCTAGAATAGGGGGCAGTCATCCTAGAACAAGGGTGGATGAAGTCATTCCACTGATTTGATGGACAAGGTTCACCTGGGTTCACTCCCATGATCTGAGTAGGTATTTCAGAGTCTGGGTTCTCCAGACACCATTCCACTCCTGTATATACCCAGCACCATCCCAACACCTTGCACACGGAAACCCACAGTAAACAGTTAACAGAAATAAGACAAGAATAATCAGCATCCTGGTGTCCCTTCCTCTTTCCACAGAACTGTTCTATGACCAAGAATAGAGCTAGTCTCCTGGGAGAGTAATTCTTACTGCATAGACAGCTTTCTGACCTGCCTCCAGGGGGCAGTAGGCAGGTCAAGGCCTACCAGTGCTCAATATTCCCATGGACATTATCAGCCAAAAAATTCCCCAGGGCCCAGAGCAGCCAATACCTGAGCTGGGATGACTCTGTCCCATGTAATTAGGATTTTGTGCATAAAATACTAAATTTTACATCTAGAGCTATCTGTAACAGGTTATCAGATTTAAAAAGACAGAATAGTTTTCCTCTGTGAGGGGGATGAATTTTAGCAAAGAATGTATATGTGTATCACACACACCTGAGTCACACAGTGATCACAGATGAAGACTCCCCACCCAGAAGCTCCAATGCAAGCCCAGTGCTCTGAGACCTTCAGCTGCTCCCTTCCCCAGGCTCCTGGTCTGAGGAGGATTATGGGATTCTCCATCCCAACAGGGGCCAAAGTGCTACTTCTGGATAGAACTCCTCTCTCTCACCCTCCCTCTCTTTCTTTATCTTTGCCAATGTAGCTCTATATAGTTCAGCCTTACCCTGAATGTGAACACTTGCAAATAAGAGGCTTTATATACTTATTCCATTCAACACTTATCAGATGCCTGGAAACTCAGCTGAAAAACTGCCCCTGTTCTAGGATGTTGACTTCTCATGTGAAGAGCCTCACATTCACCGGAGAAAGGCAGAAAGCAAGTCCCTTAGTATAAAGGAAAAGAGAGAGTCAATCCAAATGATTGCCCCCTCCTCCCCAACAAGGCAAGGACAGTTCTTCTTAGGATGGGAGATGGTGGCCAGAAGGGCAGATTGTGTTCAATAAGTATTTTTTTCTGCTCAAGCTAATTGCCCAAGGGCAGGTACTGTGTTGCAGCAGCTTCAGTTTACAGTAGCTTACAACCCTTTCTCATCTGCAGGACACACCCTGGAATTCTGCAGCTGTTGCCTTTTTTGGTGACTTTGATGTGGAGATTTGCCTATCATAGAAGTCCCTGTGTTTGTGAGGCAGATTGATACAATGCCTTAGGCTGGTGACTGCCACCATCTATTTCCCATATGGAGCAGTCTCTTCTGGTCCCTGTAAGCAGCCTGGTATTATAGAACCACAGAGACAGGCCCTCTCCTCAGTGTGGCTAAAGGCTCAGGGGCCTGCCTACCTTTCTCTCCTTGTCACCATATTCAACGCCCAGAGTGTCCATGGCCCGAACAATGGCTGCCAGAGACTGGATGGTGTTGCTGTAGACAACAGGCTTGTACTGCTTCACATCTTCTCCAGAGAAGCCATCTTCATGGATGATCCTGGAGAAAAACCACACACACCACACCTGATGAGTACTTCGTCCTCACTCCATACAGAGAGCATTAGGAATGGGAGGTCACGGGCCAACCCCTGGTTTAGCAGGTAAGGGCCAGACCCCATGAAGTTGATGAATTACTGAGTTGCTGCATTATACCATAAAATTTGAAGGGAAAAAACCTACATGAATTATTGAAAAATAGTCTAAAAAACAGAATATTGGAAGAGAAATGCAGTCTTTTCATACTCCCTATATACAGGGAAAGAGATGAGGGGTTAACAATGCTTGAAAGCTTTTAGATCAGGAAGGGCAAAACCTAATACATGTAGGCCACTGGTATTTTAAGCAAAGCTCAGGGTCTAAATTTAAGGATATGCTCAGGGGTATACTAGAGAAGATCACAGCAAGAAGTCTGCAAATGAACAATACATTTCTTTTTCACAGACAACTTGCAGTGCTTTTACTTTTTGGTCCTAGGGATTGAACCCAGGTTCACATATATGTTAGGCAAGGACTCTGCTACTGAGCCATATAATCAGGCCATGCTAGTGCTTTCAATGGAGGTAGGATGCCTTATTTAAACGAACAAACAACCATGTTATCGACAACAGAAAAGTCAGCAGAAGGCATTCCCTTACTCTTCCATCCTTAGCTGGGACTAGCCAATGAATCACCTTTTTCCTGTTGAATATCAACAGTGACACAAAGCCCACAGAAGGGACACCACAGATCAGAGGCCACGTGACAAACCTTGGTGGCACTCAATACATGCTCACTGATGATAAGGATCTGAACAGGAGAGAAAGCTAGAAAAAAGGAAATGACAGCAAAACTCTGTAAAAATTCTCTTACAAGAGAAGTAGTTGAGAAAGAGAAGTAAATTTTAAGACTAGTATCCAATAGTATTTGTCCCTCAATAAACTGTGAACTCTTCTGTGGTCACATTTTTCAGACCAAGATTGAATGCCACATATAATGTGCACCGAACAATGTAAAAGCTGAGCGCCTTCCTTCTGGCGCACTATAGCCCCGTCCATTTCTTCATTACCCTCGGTACAGGAGAACACTGCTGACAACAGTTTGAAAAAAACAGCTTTATTGAGATATAATTCCCATACCAGACAGCCCACCCACTTGGATGTTTTAAGTATATTCACAATGTTGGGCTACTATCACTGCAATCCAATTTTAGAACAGATTTGTCTCCCCCTACCAAGGACCCTGTACCAATCAGCAGTCACTCCTTCCCCCCATTCCAACTCTAAGCAACCATTAATCTACACTGTTTTATATATTTGTCTATTCTGAACAGTTCATATAAATGAAATCATACAATATATGGATGCTTGTGACTGGTTCTTTCAGTTAACATACTCTTTTCAAGATCTGTCTATGTTGTAGCATGTTTCAGTAGCTTGTTCTTTTTTATTACTGACATGATACATTTTACTCGTCCAGTCATCAGTTGCAAAATTAAACTTGACACGGGGCTTGTGAGTCTTTGTCCTGAGTTTCTCTAAGAAGCAGATCAGAGTGACCATATTGACTTTTTGTGGACTTTGGTTAGCCCTAAGTTTCTTTTTACAAAAATCTCTTGAGGTGTCCATAACCAGTCCAGCAAATAGGTGTACTATCCCAGAGAGGTCTCACAGGGAATTGCTTGTGCTCACTGTACAGTCAGAAAACTAAGAGTGTAGGAAACAATATTTTCAGGCCCTGGACAATAGCTAGTGCAGAGCTGTGACCTTAGGAAAAGGGAATGAAGGAGGTGAGCCCTGTAATTGCCTGGGCTTTCTAACTAAAAGTGCTGACCAAAGCATAGTGCGGGCAGGGAGGAGCCCCAGCAGAGTTCCATGGCTCACTGAGCTGCAGAGGCAGAGATCAGAGGTCAGAGGTGGCTGGAACTGAGAGGAAACTGCAGAGAGAAAGAGCTCTAGGTATCTTCAAGGGTCCGCACAGGTCTTTCACTGAACAGGCAAGAGTCTACAAGATGGTCAATAAATAACTACCAGAGAAAGAATGAGCTTCAGTAGGCTTATAGACTGGACACTTTTCAGCACTTCTCCAAGGCTGGGAGATATGCAGGTTCTGATCGGCCAGAATGGAGAACCCCTTGGGGAATACTGGAGCATTCAGCAGAGACCCCAAAAGGTTCATGCCAGAGCAATAGGGCTAAATACCCTAATGGCTCCCTGAGGCAGACCCTGGCAACACTAAATGGCAAGCCTGGAAAAGAAACAAAAAATAAAAACAAACAAAATGAACAAACAAACAAGCAAAAACCAAGGTAGCCCACAAAGAACTCACAGAATAAAGTCGACACTTTTTAAATGAGAACAAAAGAACCCAGACAGTGAAAAATATGATATTCACCATATTACCATCCAATAAAAAAATTCCTGCCTATGCAAAGGAGTAGTAAAGTATAAACCCACAGCTCAGAGAAAAATTAGTTAACAGAAAGGAGATTGGAAGTGACAGGTATGATAGAATTAACAAATAAAGATGGGAAAATATCTATTTTAAGTATTTTCAAAGAAACTAAAGGAAATCATGGATGTAATTAGGAGATAAATGGAAGTATAAAAAGAGATGAGAATACAAAAGCTGAAGTAAAAATCTCATTGGATGGGATTAACAACAGATCAGATATCCAGAAGATGGTGAACTTGAAGACATAGCAACAAAAGCTATCCAAGTGGAGATGAAGAGGAAAAAGGCTGAACATACATTATGCTCATAATGTCTATAAAATTTAGATAATAACAGCACAAAAGATAAAGACTCATATAAAAATAATGGCATATGACTTGAAAGTGAAGTGTGGTAAGTCAAGACATACATTGTAAACTCTAGAGCAACAGTAAAAGAAAAGTAACTGTCACGGAGACTCCATTACCAGACTCCCCTGGGAAGGCAGGGCCCTGGCTGACTTGAGAGGATCTGCTGGTCTCATGTGTGATGTGCTGTCCCAGAAGCCAGAGTGGAGTCCCCAGGGCTCTAGTTTGGACCCTGCCACCCTCCTAGGAAGATTCTCTTGACCAGGGGACTACTAGGACTATCATTTTCCACACTTATTAATGTCATTCATCTTTACACTCACCTAGTAAGATAGGAAGGGTAGGTTTTTATTATTTGATAGAAGTGGAAACTGAGGCTAAGATATTAAGTAATTGGCCCAACATCTCTCAGCAGGTAAGCACCAGAGCCAGGACCAGACACAATCTTCAAGTTCACAATCCTTTCTACCACACCTCAACCCGTACCTTGAACTAGGTGGAATATTGCTGCCAGGTGTCAGCTGGTGCCTGGGGTGACAGGAAAGAATGAAGCTTCATTTCATATGATTAGTAGTCCTGTAACTTGTTCAAACTGGTTTATTATTAGCTTAAAGTTGGGCTTGCTGAATCAGGGTGATATTTTATATCCTCCCTCCCCCCACTACAAAATAATAAGTATTTATTTTGTACTATACAGAAAAAGAAGAAACAGCATTCACAACCTTACCACTCAGAGACAAACACTGGATGTTACAGTGTAAAACATTCCTTGGCATTTTTTCATTCCTCATATCCCACCCGTCCCAGCAGTTGAGTTGAGGCACATACCCTTAAAAGTATCAAATAAGGCCCCATTTTTCTATCTCCCCACATCATTCTAGAGAAGCAGAGCAGAGCAGTGGTTAGTGCTTAGGCAATAGCCAGGCTGGAACCAACCTGTATCTGTTGCTGATAAGCTCTGTCAATGTCTCTGGTAAACCCTCTCAGCAGATGGGATTCCTCATCTGCAAAAAGCTGTTGTGAGAACCATATAGTGAGGATAAAACAAATGGTAGCTACTAGGGATAGCATCCTCATTCTAAAGTCAAAACTCTCCAAATAGAATTAGCTCATTTCTCCTACAATAGCAGCTGGTCTTTGAGGCTAACTGCTTCACCTGTTATATTTTATCTAATTTTCAAAAAAACACTGGGAGATAACAATTATCACCTTCTCTTTATAGTTGAGGAAACTAAGCTTAGAGAGGTCAGCTGGTAAGTAGCAGAGTAGCATCTAAGGCCTGCTAATGGCCTGCTAGAGGGAAGATGCTGAGAGGCAAGGCTGTTTCCTCCACCCTGGGCCCCTGCATCCAGATCTCAGAGGCTCCCGGGATTGCACACACATGTGAGCATCAGCACTCCCTCTGAAGTATCTGTCCAGTATCTGGAGGATTGGGCAAGGAAAGGCGGCCCTGGGTTTGGGTTGGAGATGCAACCCAGGGGAGTTCAGTCTTATGTGATGGTCCAGGTCTGAGTCCTGGAGGTGGCAAGGCCAAGGTTTGAAAGCAAGAGTGAGGCTCCAGGAGAAAACTTAGCAACAGCCAGTGGCATCTCACTGCAGCAGCACCAGATGGAGCTAAGTCTGAGAGATACCATGAGGGCCTCTGGATCCAAACACACTTGAAGCCATCCCTATTTCAAATCATGCCCTTATTTTTGTTTAAGCTAATGTGACTTGGGTTTTTGTCACTCAGAACCAATAGTCATGATCAAAACATTTTGTACCTTCATAGCAACAATAATCATACATCATCTTCTAGTAGACTTGTTCTTTGTACTATCAGTCTGTCAGCCCTTGGTACTCTACCCATCTCTGCTCTTCCTCCCCTTACACCCTGGCATAGGACTGGGCTCTCATGGAGGTGGAACACCATTACATGAGCCAGGAATACACAGATGCACAAGGCTTGCCCCATCCAAAGAGCTCACCGAGGGAGGCAGGCTAGAGAGAGAGAGAGAGAGAGAGAGAGAGAGAGAGAGAGAGAGAGACAGTGTGTGTGTGTGTGTGTGTGTGTGTGTATTTTGGGGTGAGGATCCATCAGATTTCTTACACCTGCAGAGATAGAGTATCAAAAGGAGACCAAGCTAGTTCTCACTGGTGCCCATCCAAAACTCAGGGACCCTGAGAGGTGCTCCTCACTACCAGATCAGAAGATCCATGGGCGGGAGTCTGCCCA